AACCTGCTCTTTTTCTTCATTCACACTGTGATAATATATTTCTGTTTACTTATTAAATTTTCCTCTATTCTCTATAAAAAATGGATAGCAATTAAATATTTAGATGTAATCACAATAAAATTGAGTGGACTGAGAAGTCCAATGGGTAAATTGTCAACTTACAGCAAAAATCTACTTTTCACTTATTGATTCTTTTTTCTGGCATTGATGACTCATTTGACTTTTCTTATAAATGGATCTCTAGTATATCAGTGTGGTATGGAATATATGTGATGGTTATTTTCTGGATTAAGTGAGGTGAAACTCAATATAATTTGGAGCTATCAAATTCTTATGAATTCATGATATGTTGTCTTATTCCTCACTTACAATATAATAATACTGACTTCTGACCTTTCCTCTGCCTAGGGTTGTTATATAGATTAAAATTTGAAAGCCTATTATAATTATATGTTGCTGATTATATTAAACCCTTTGCAATTAATTTATATATGTTCAGGTTATTTTTCTTAGGTTTTGCGAATTGCTATCCAAGAAACTACTTTGATTTTGCATTTACCTTACAGCATAGCCTGTTTATATAAGCTAGTGTGTAGTTTTGTGCAGGTATCATGGAATGCCAAAATAAGTGATTAAACAAAATAAAAGTTAATTTCTCACATTATATTTGAAAGGTAGGTAGTCCCAGGAATGGATGAGATAACTTTGCTACATCAGGATATCCAGGGAGTCAGTGTTCTTCTGTCCTATTGTTCCATTATCCTTAGGATTTTATCCTCATCCTGATGGTCTAACATGGCTTGCCACCAAATCCATGTTCCAAGAAGCAGCTGGAAGAAGGGACACATCCAAGTCCCTTTATTGATACCTTCTGAAAGTTGAGCTTAACAGTTTTCCTCTTGTCCATTGGCCGGTTACAGAGTTGCACTTAGCTGAATGGGAAGCTGGAGACTATATTCTGTTGCAGGTGGTGTGTTCCCAGCTAAAATGTAAGTCTTCACTGTAGGGAAAGGTAGTTATTGAGGAACAACTAACAGCCTCTGCTATATCTGTTTTTAAATTAAATCTCATTCTTGGGCTTGATATAGGTTAAATATGTATTATCATTTTTGACATTTGAAAACATAATTACCTATTTACTTGACTTCATGCAAACATTCCATATATTTTCAAGTCTCTGACTCTGCTCAGCCTGTAATGACCTTCACCATTTCTTGTCCTCCCCCCACCTCCAAAACCCAATTCCAAAGTCCTATACCACTTCTTCAGTAAAGAATTCTTTAATTCTAGCTCTAATTCATTGTTTTATCCTTCCTATTCCATTATAACATAATATGTGTGTTCCTTTGTTGTAGCATCTAATAAACTCTCTCAGATTTTCTCTTGTGATAATAGGACTGCAATTTCCTTAATGGTAGAGTTCATGTCTCATTGATTCATCTCTTCCCCATGGTGCCCTTCATGTAATAGGTTCATGATATTTTCTGATTGAGTGAATGGAAATTTTAATTCTCTGTTTCTGCTTCTAACACAATGTGTTATCCTGGATAAGTCACTCAGTCTTTTTTTATCTTTCCAGTAAAATGGGGGGAAATTGCAACTCTTTATCTGCATCATAAGACTGTTATGAAAATAACATAATTTGGAAAATGTGCTGTCAATTGCAAGATACTTGATTAATGAAATTTCACTGTTTGCTGCCTTATTAGGAATTTGGGGAAATTAATCAAGATTAAATGGATTTCAAGTCAAATTTGTATTCTAAGGTATTTCACAGTAGTGTTTTTGGCACACTGGTGCCAAAAGGTTGTTTCAATAAGTATGTAATGTTATTTAATACCTAAGTTTTAATCTAAAATTTCTTAAGTTAGAAAAGGGATTTTAGTTTATGTTCACTCAGATGCAGTGATAAAATTGAAAGTCATTGTAACTTGATTGAGCAGATCCTGAGGTTTTTTTTTTTTTAAGATTTATTTATTTATTTTTAGAGAGAGCATGCACACATGGGAGTGGGGGAAGGGGTAGAGGGAAAGGGAAAGAATCTCAAGCAGACTCCCTGCTTAGTGCAGAGCCAGGTGCTGGGCTTGATCTCAAGGCCCTGAGATCATGACCTGAGCCAGAATCAAGAGTTGGATGCTTAACCTATTGAGTCACCCAGATGCCCTGATTTTGAGATGTTTTTAATGTATCTGTCAATGACCAGTGTTGGAACTGTAGGATCAGGGATTTTCCCAATTTATAATATACCAACAAGGAAATAATTTTCCATTAAATGAGATGGTTTTTGGGGGTTCCTATTTGTAACTGAGAAGCTTTTTCTCTAGCTAGCTTTCATATTTGGGCCACTTTAGCCTTTTTTTTTTAAATTTTTTTAAGATTTGTTTGAGAGATAGCATGAATATGTGCAGGGGGAAGGGGCAGAGGTGGAGGGAGAGAGTCAGTCTCAAGCAGACTCCGTGCTGAGTGTGCTGAGCCTGACATGAGGCTCGATCTCAAGACCCTGAGATCATGACCTGAGCTAAAATCAAGAGTTGAACACTTAACTGACTGAGCCATCCAGGCGCCCCTGAGCCACTTTAGCCTTTTGAATGAATGATATCCGTGTGGTATTTCCTGCTTTCCTACCCTCCAGATTTCTATGTTAATACAGAGTGTCCTGATCGTACCTCCTGATAATTATCTAATTGGTATGTTGGGGGGGGGAATGTGTCTCAGAGTCCTTTGTATTTGTACTATCATCCAAATTCTGTTTGATACTTGATTATGAAGCTTCAAATATACAAAATGAAATTTTGGAGTATAGACTTTAATAAAAAAAACACTTTGCTATCTCTAAGTAGGTCTCCATTTAAACATGTAGGAAATGATTATTTGGAAAATCGATGTCATTATTTGTGTGCTTCTGTCATTAAGGTTCTCACAATTTTTAGCTTGTTTAATATGTATTAAATGTTCATAGTATAGTGGGAGTTTTCCATTATACTGAAATGGAAATGCTGTCTATTACACTAAATATAGGACAGAATATATTTTACTTTTGAGTAGTGATCTGATTTCCAAGATTCTACTAAATTACGTATATGCTAATGCTTAGCTTCTGTTGATTATTACCATTACTGCTACCTTGCTACTATCTGTTTATCATTTAAGATGCAAATTATCACCTCCCCCGGGTAACTTTCCCTATGATTCCCAGGCAGAATATGGTTCCTTCTTTTGTATTTCAAGGGATGTTTTAAATGTATTTTTATCACAGTTGTTTTTGTTTATATGTCTTCCATCTAAACTATGAATTGCAAGATAGCTAGTGGCCTGTCTTACTCATGTTTGTATATCCTGTATAGTTTGTAGATCATAGAAGATACTCAGCAAATGTTTGGCTGAATAGATATATATATATATATATGGGATGGTCTGAGAAGACTCTTATACTCACTGTACTTGGTCAGACCCTCAGGGTACACAACAGGGGGTCAATACGTCAAACAAGAGGACTTAAAATTTTAGGAGGAAAAACATTGTATATTGCTAAACACCAAGTGGACTGTAAGTTTGAGCTGTCAACCAAGGGGTCTTTACCCCTTTCGGTATAGTATTTTCTAGGTCCTTTGCCTAGGTGATCCATTTAGTTTTTGCATTTTCCTTATGAGAACTATGTCACTTTTTATGAGATGTGGTGGAGTCAGTAGAGAGTGTCCAGAAAAAAAAAATATAATGAGTATTATGTTTGATATAAATCTCAGGTTCAAACCTGTCTAATAGATTTCTGGATGTTTGATATCAGTGGAATAGTTGACTTGGGAACCAAAGTATATATTGGGTGGGTGGAGGAGACAGTGCACTGGATGGACATTCCTGAGATTTTTCATGTTAGTACAGACTGAATATAGCTGACAAGGATGGGATGAGTCTGGCCAGTAGAGCAAGTGAAGTGGAGATTAGAAGACAGAATTCTATTTTAAATGGAATTATATATGACAAGCAGTCAGATAGCCATTTGCTTAATGCAAATAATAATTTAGGGTAGGTACATAGGAAATAATGCTGCGATGATTTAACCCATTTAATTTTATTTTAGACACATTCTGGAAATAGAGAAACTTAGTAAAATTTTGTGCTGGAATTGAAAGTTTTAGTTTTCAGTATTATATTAGTTCGGAGAAAGGGGAAGGAAAAAGGAAATATATAGTCTTTAATATTGTAATAAAGTTCTCAAGATGATAAAAATGGTGCATTCTCTGGTTTAACTTTGAAAACTCTATATAATGTCTTTCTCTTTGTTTCTTAAAAGCCTATTCATTAAGCAGTGAGAGGGAAAATTGATATTTTAAATAAGTTGGTTTGTTCTTGTTATTTAACATATAAGAGTTCCTGGGGCTTCATTGATCTTTTTTTTTTTATTCCTACCATTTGAAGTTGATATTCATTCAAAGGTTTCTGGTCCTGTCTGCATGATGAGCAAGTAGAGAGTTCCTTGATCAGTAGAGGTTCTGATAACGCAGTCAAGGCCATGGTAGCTAGGATTATGAAAGTGGTGTCCACATAGTGGGATTCAGGAGGAAGAAGGCACATGTTTGGTAATATGAAACAGAGCTTCAAGAGTTAATCTGGCATTGCTTTCTCATCTCCCGAAAAAGCCAAGGTTTTTTTGTTTTGTTGTTTTTTTTAAACACCAGCATAGTTTGATCCTTTATACCAAGTTTAGAAGATTAGCCTTGGAAACCAATATTGTGTTTTCTCTCTTCCCTTCAGGACAGAGTATATTCCATTTGGGACCACCTCAACTACCTTACCAGGCAGCACCAGGTCTTCATATGCTATCAGTTTACCTTCTGCTATGAAAAGGATCTTTCCTTGAATGTTCACATTTCACCTTGAGAAGGCAATCTATATATATACATATATATAGGATGGATTAAGCAGCTGTAAATAAATATGACATCGTAGAAGAGTGGTTTGTGGGAGTTTTACTATATATACACATATATAATATTTTCCAGTCTGGTTTCAGACCCCGGCATGGCTTGGAGACAGCGTTGGTGTGTATGAAGGATCTTCCTCGAATGAAGGATTTGGGACAACTTTCCATGATGATTATATTAGAGCCTCAGCTGCTTTCGTGTTGGTCATGAGGTGATGCTGAACCGAATGCTTGAACTAGCAGGAGTGGCTGGGATTGCATTGGAGTGGTTCCGTTCATTCCTTCCGGGTAGGTACCAGCTAGTGACGGGTGAAAATGGACATTGAGGGTCTTCCTGTGTGGAACCGCGTGGTTGTCACTCATCCCCCCCGTTCATGTTTAGTGGGTTTGAGAAGACAACTGGACACCTGAAGGCCAGGCAGTGTGATTTGAATGACTGTGTAGAAGGTTATGAGGGTGATTCCCAGATTCCCAGATGGATGTCGCTCACATACGTTATTTCTCTTTTGTCAGTGTGACAGTGCAGACTAGAATCGAAACTGAGAAGTGTGACTTGTTGGAAAGGGAAAATTCGGGAGGCCCTGGTGTGCTTTCTAATTCCTCTGTCTCAGTTACAGTTTGTGTAAACTCTGGCCATATTTTGACTACCAATTTATCTACACATGCAAATCCTATTGCAGTATCAGGTAGACATGTTTTATTTTCCTTTTCGTTATATACCTGAGCCTTCTTCCGTGTGAACATTGACTGCATCTCCATGATCTTTCTTGCTGAAGCTGTAGTCTGCTTGTTCACCCTTTTGCTTGGGGCTCTTTTAAGTGAAGTAGCCTGACTACGTTAATACATATTCTTGAGGGTGGTGGCTGATTTTTCCCAGTAAATGTTTTGCTTTATCTTCACTGAGAGCACTTCATTATTCTCACCCTGTTTTACTAAGAATCAAATTGGGTTGTACTTTTAAGGAGTTTTGCAGCATAAATACTGTCTTTCTTTCTTTAAACTGCTTAGGCATTTTAAGTTTTTACAGAGAATATGCTAGAATTTCTTTAATTTTGAACATGTTCTTTAGAAATTTGGTGCCTTTTCTTGGCTATTATTTATTTATGAAATGTTATTTCAGTTATTTTCCTTTAGGGTAATGAAAAGCTTGCTGAGTGTTGAACATGGAGGAAGTTTATTAGGCCTAATAGTAGAATACAGGTAAAGAACTGAAAAGAAGAAACACAGATGTATGTGTCTGTAAATATCATTAGAACTGTCTGTTGAATGTCATTTTGGCAAAAGGGCAGGAAACTAACATGCGGTAACTGATCAGTGTCAGGCACTGAGCCAAGCAATTTCTATTTTTTAGTTCATTTAATCCACACAGTAACATTGAGAAGTAGGTGCTTGTTTCTTCATTTTACAGATGAGGAAATTGATGCTGAGAGAAGTTAGGTATTTTTGCCTAACTTCACACGGTTATAGGTGGAAGATCTGGTATTTGAGTCTGGGTCTTGCTGATTGCAAAGCTCAGGCTTTCCATCACAGTCAAATGTTAAGCCACAGGCAAATGTTAGACTTGAAGTGGGGGTCCCAAAGGGAAGGGGGAAAAAAAAGAAGAAAAAGAATGACTATCAGAAGGCATGAGCAAACCAAGGAGGAAATGAAAGACAGGAATGTATTAGCATCGCGATTGTTTTGAAAATTTCTAGAGTTTTCTTAAAACTCAGTTTAACAAGCCAGGTGACAAAATGAACAATTTTAAGAGGCTTGCCACTTACAGGATAAATAGGTTTAGAATTTTGGATTTTATCTTTTTGAACATTTGTCTATTCTCTGTTTTGAAAATGAAGTAGCGATACCCCACATTGGATCCTCAAAAACTATAAGGAGCAGTGCATGGAGGTCAATCAGGTAGTTAGCAATTATATGAGAAGAGACAGCATTTGAAGACCAATTCTAGGTGCTTACTGTTTATAAAAGCTTTTTTTGTTTATCTTTTTAATGTGTCTACAAAACTTTGCCATGTGGAACTTCCGCTTACCATTGCCTGTCACGTATAACATGGTGCTTATGACTGAAGGTGTGAATTTTTGTTTTCTTCTTGCTAGTAATATATCTGGATTTCAATAAATACTTGTTTTCATCTTTAAATGAAGTTTGAATCAATATTAGCAGTTTTTCTTTTCATATTGACGGGCAGCTTGCTCCCACCATCACACAATAGATTTATTTCAGGTATAGCCAGAGAGAACGTTGTTTCTGTGCTTATAAACTGACATTTGGCAATAGAAAAGTACTGTGCTATATATTAAAGTTGTTATTGTTATCCTAACATGATATACTGTTATTAATTATGTTAACGGTACCTTATAAAACAACCCCCCAAAGGAGGTAAAGCTCTTTAACTGTAATGATTTTCAATTTCAGTGATATGTTTTGTCTACCAGTGGCTCATGAAGTAACAGTCATAATTGAATTCAGCACCTTAAGATTTCCTGACTTAGCTTAAGTGAAATATTGATTTCATGGAATTAGGTGTCAGGTGCATCGAGGAACTATTTCCTGAAAGCTTTAAGTGGCTATATAAATCCTCAAGAATATTAATTCAGGTTAAATGAGTGGGTTGGAGTCGTGCTTACTTCAGATGTTTGCCAAATGGCCAGAAGCCATGATATGTCAAGTTTTGGTTTTTGAAACATTGAAAAATGAAGGAAAGCACAAAAATACTTCCCTTATTCTTACATCAACATAGAGATAGTTGTCTATAGTTCTGGCAACTGCTAAATCAGTTACCCTTTAGTTAGCTGATTAAATAGGGGTCCAGTTTAAAAATAATTTTTCCTGAATTATTATCATGGCTCTCCAGTTCTCTTCCTTTCCACTCCAATTACATTTACATATTTTTCTCCCTTTTCATTACTGGAGTTGTTGTCTGGAGGGTCTCTTTGTGCCTGACTGGAACACTGATATTGCTGTAAAATAATGTTCAGGAAATCTTTTGTCTAAAGATACATTTCTCCCCATGGGTCATCAAAATGTGCATTTTTCCCTAAGGAAGGTGTTTATTTCTATAAAACAGAGGTAACACATATATAACGTATTAGTAGCATTACTTTTGGAATTTATTAATATGTATGTGTGTATAATTTTATAGTTTTCCAAAGCCATTAGCCTGAAACAGTATTGTTTATTCTCTTTTTACATTTGCACTGATTTTAGGCATTATCTTTATCTTACTGGGTTTTTTTTTCTGTATGGAAGAGTATTAATATGGCTTGTAGGAGACATAAGCATTTCTGCAATCCCTGCTCCCAACCTATGCCTCTCAGGAATTATATTTTTCTGAGGGTGAAATTAAAACAGGAGCTAGGTGTATTAAATTTCTTATAGGCCTACTGCCAGATTCTTAGATGTATTTTTAAGTGTCAAATACTAAGTTTGGGGAAGGAAAGGATGCTTTAAATTCACTATGCTTTGCATTTACTCTTCTTTTCTCAGAGCATATTGTTTCCATAAGAGATCTTGCCTAGAAGTTAGGCCCTTTGTAAAGTTTGTTTTTACTTTATAATTCTATCTGAATTTTTTGGATGTATTTCATGCCCTCCCAAGTAACTATGATGTTTGAATTTCACAAAACTTCTGTTTGATAGCAGAAAGCTATGTTTATTAAATATCTTTCAATGGTAATACTTCTAATTAAAGCAGATAACTACCACTGAACAAATTGCCTTAAGAATATAAGTGGACAGAGAAAGAGGAGAAGGAAAGAGGAGAAAACACAACTAATTGATATTTAACTGTAGCATGAATGCAACTCTTAACAGTAGTGGTTGGCATAGTTAATTTTAGACATTTCCTTTATCAAACATTTAAAGGTAAAAATTTCCCCATAGCCAGTAAAACTCTGAGCTGAATTCTTTTGACATTCTGCTGATCAAGGAATTTCCAATGAGTAGCACCAGATTCTTCTGCAGAGAAGGAGTAGGAGCATGAATCAGAAATGTCAAGGAAACTACTCTTACTCTTTCTGAACCATAGAAAGCCATTAATAATGATAAATGTTTATTGAACATGTAATGTGTTAGTTGTGTTTTATATTGAGGAAGATATGTACGTGATTGAAGACTTACATATGAAAAGTCATACCATTGGGAAGAAAATTAGAAAAATTCAGATCCAACATTTGAATCCACCTTTGGTAGGGAAATGACTTTTCACAGTTAAAAGCTATAAACCAAAGTGCAAAGGGAGTAATTGATGTAATTGACTACAGAAATTTTTGTGCCTGCATATCAAAATATATTGTGACAGTGGAGAAAATATTTTTAGTTAATATGCTAGAGGTATTATATAAAGAGATTATTAAAACAGTTAAGAAAATAAATGATGACCTTAGAGCATCATGGTCAAAGGACACGAACAGAGGAGCTCCAATGTATAAAACTAAGGAATAAGCAAGTAGCATTTGATCTTACTAATAATCATAGAAATGCAAGGTAAAGTAACCATTGGAGATTTTATCTTAGTTTACCTAATAAATTAATCAGTCCACACACTTCGCCCTGACTCCAAATGATGCTTCCTGTTATATATTACCAGTCAGAATGAAAACCAAAATAACTCATTTGAAAAGCGAGTTGGCATTATTTGCAAAAGATCATTACATAACATATATCCTGAATTAATAATGCCACTTTTGCAAGTCTATCTTAAAATATTCCTGAATATAAGAAGAAATATATGTGCTAGGATATTCGTATTAATGCTATTTCGATTATAAAGGACATAATTTAAATGCTTACCAGTGGTATCAATGCTTTTCAAACTTGGCTGTAGATAAGAATCATTTGGAAGGACGCAAGAAAACGCATGATATCTGGGCCCCACCCAGAGATTTTTTACTTAGTAAGTTTGGAGTTGCCTAAAGATTTACATTTTAAAAATTCTCCTAAAAATTCTCATGTATAGACAGATTGAAAACCATGGACTTGAAACAAATTGATAGAATATTTTTAACCGTTTGATATATTTATGATGGCTTTATAGAATGGAGAGGGTATAGGATAAAATGAAATATTGTAATTCAACATTTAGGTAAATTATAACTTCAGAAACATACCAAAAAAATAGGCTAGAAGGAAATTTATAAAATGCTCAGAGTTGTTTTAAGGAGTTCAAATTTTGAGTGATTTTTCCCATCTTTTCATCCATTGACTGATATTTAGTGAGGTTCTTGTATTACCTTTTAAAAGAAAACTATATTTAAAAGAAAGTTTCCTGCTGGCAAGATCATCTAGGTAATTTCCTATTTATAGGTTATTTCTACCTATGAATACAGAGATTTATTCTGACTTCTAAAATAATCATATCCTGAGGTTAGAGTTACACCTCATTATTATAATGAAATCCTTCGCAGGATTCTTTTTTCCTTTTTTGTCATCTCAGAAATATTTTCTCATGTAGTTTTCTGACTGTTGGAATATAATAAGCTCAAGTCAGTCATTTTTCTCTTCTTTTATTACTCTACATCTGTGCCTATCAGTTTTCACCTTTCTAAATACCATTCTATATGCTGATGGTTCCCCAGTGTTTATCTCTAACCCCAGCATTAACTCTGTGATGCATGTATGTATCTGAATTTTGAAGGCATACCTTTAAATTAGTAAGCGCAGAACTAAATTCATCATATTTTTTTCCAAATTGATCTCTTCTATATTAACTGACTTAACTAATTATACCACCATTTGTCCCCAGCCATTAGAGCAATCCTAAATTCCTTCTTCTCCCTTATCTCACACATCTAGTTAGTTTTTATGTCTTACTGATACCCCCCTCACACCGTATTTCTTCTCCTGCATTTCTTGACTCTTTGTCCATGTCTCTGGCCTACCATCCTTGCTCTTTTGAGGTTCTTGTCATCTTCCCTGCAGTCCAGTACTGCAGGCTCCTAATCCATCTGTCTTTTAGGCATGTCTCATTCCAGATCTATCCTCATGCTAACAAAGGGACAAGGGCATCTTCATCCTTAAAATTTTCTGGGGCTTTTTATCATCTCTTGCATGAAGACTAAGCTCCTGGCCATGGGATTTAGACATGTGCATGGCATGGTGCATATCTTCCCTCTGGAAACTGATCCCAACCCTACTTTCCCTCCCCCTCACTCTCTGAAAATGCCAAATAATTAATCATGTTTCTGGGCACCACATTCAGTTCTGTCCATCTGTGCCTTGTTCATGCTGTTCCCTCTACCTGGAATGACCTCTTCACTTCTGTTTTAGATAGATTAACAAAAATTTAAAGATTAATGCTCTCCACCATTGACTAGGGTGGGGAAAAGAGTTACTCTCAAGGGAAGGTAATTTGGAAGAAATGATCAAAATTTTAAAATCACCCTTTTAATCTAAAAATTATTTCAGGAATCTATTCTAGAGAAATAGGCATACATATTTTCTTAGTCTGAGCTGCTGTGACAGAATACCACAGACTGGGTGGCTTATAAGTAATAGAAATTTGATTCTTACTGTTCTGGAGGCTGCAAAGGCTAAGATCAAGGTTCCTGCAGATTTGGAGTCAGGTGAGGGCTTGCTTTCTGGGTCATAGATGTCCCAGTACACATTGAGTCCTTATTTGGGAAGGGGACAGAGAATTCTCTGAGGTCTCTTTTATAAGGCCACAAATCCCATTCATGAGGGCTGCATCTTCAGGACCTCATCACTTCCTAGAGCCCCCACCTCCACATACCATTACATTGGAGACTAGGTTTCAACATATGAATTTTGGGGGTTGGGGACACAAACAGTCTATAGCTCCTTTATAGAGAGAAGTATATAGTATATACTCTATAGAAGTATACCAGATTATTTATTACAGCACTATTTTAATGGGTAAAATTAGATACAAACTAAATGTTAATAAGGAAATACTTTAAAAATTATGACGTATCTACTCTATAGGATATTAAAAGTACTATATGAATATTAAGAATATCCAGTAATCTGTACAATATTAAGAGCAAAAAATATTCTGTGGGAAAATCTCCTGGTTGTGTTATTAAGCAAAAAAGCATGTACCTACCAGTATGCACTAACTGCTGTCATTTCTGTTGAAAATAATTTTAAAATACCAAACCATAGACTTGAAAACAGGCATATATGTTGTCATAATTGCTTTGGATTTTTTAAAAATTAAGTCTAGCAGGAAAAGCTGGAGCTTCTTTGATTTCCTTCTTTTCTCAGAGGCAATCTGTGTCATAGATCTGCTGTATATCATTGTAGCTCAGAATTGTATTGTTTTACTATGAATATATAGGTAAAAGTATATCTGTGTCTATAGCTATAATCTATTGGTGACTAGTTTATTGACAGTTTCCTAGTTTCTATTTCTGGACATTCTCAACCAATACTTGGTATTGCCAAGCCTCAAATTTCGTTCTACTCTGTAAATTGTGCAATGTTACTTTATCAAGAGCCCGTGAATGTTTCATGAGTGTCCAAGCCTGGCAGGCCTCTGAGGGGACCACAAAGAACCCTAAGGAAGTTGGAGTCCTAAGTTGCTAGATGCCATCAAGGAATGTAGTGTTAGATGCACAGAATTAAATGCTACACTCCTGGAACTGGCTATAAAGCCTCTGGAAGTTCAGAGATGATCATGGACTTGAGAGGTAATTGGAAGTTTTTAGGAGGTGAAGGTGAGGGGGGGGGCGCTTCACAAATGAATAGGAAGAGAGGAGAACAGAAGGCATTGAAGGTGAAGGGAGTAGGAAGACAGGCAGCATGGCTGGAATAAACAGGAAGCCAATAGTTAAACCATTATTAATTGTCCTTAAAACCTTAGCCAGAAAGGGATTAGCAGAGCTTTAAAGCACACCTATTTTAAACTCATCATTTTACAGATGAGAAGATTGAGGCTTAGAAGAAGGAGGTCAGCTTGTATAAATCATTTAGCCTATTTGACAAGTGTCAAAAAAAAAAAGGGGGATATATTGGTTTATTTAACTTGGATATCCGATGGATTGATCTTCAACATGACTAGATAATGCAGGAGTTCAAGTGATACCATCTTTTGTCCCCCTTTTCTTTCCATGTTTTGCTCAGCTTTCCTCTGGTTAGCCTTATTCTTGGCAGGCTCTCCTTGTGGAGGCAGAGGTAGGCACCCGCTAATCGTTTTTGTACCTTTACAGCTTATGTTTCTACTGAAAATAATGTATGCTCTTTTTCTTTATGTCTGTATCAGTTCCCCAAACTCCCACCCTTTGACCATTTTGTTTAATCTGGCTGGCCTTCCTGGTGGGGAAATCAGGACCATTTCACTGATAACTAACCTGGGATCACATTAGTGAAGAGGGGAAAGTCCCTAAGAGAAAGGAATGCATAGCATGCATCTATAAGATGGCCAGTCTGGCCTGAGTGGTGTGTGGGGTGTTTGACACACATGACTGTAGTCATCAATTTAAATAGAATATAGATGGTAGTCATTGCAGGTGCTTTATGTCCACAAATGCCTGACTGTAACAACTTTCATAGGAGTGATCAAGTTCATCTCAACAAACATGTTTTGAGTGCGTTGGGATTGCTTGTCAGATAACACAAAACTAAATAAATATGTGACTATCCCCTAAGGAGTTCCCAAACTTGTAAGTGGTAGGGGGGGCAGGGAAGTTAGAGGTATAAAAATATTGATGAAACCATGAGGGATATGCAAAGTGTTGAGATTGTAATACAGGAATGCCCTGGGCTCACAAAAGGTGTCACCACACAGACCATAGTTAAAAGTTTTATTTTGAGTGGTAAATGGAGCAAGGAGTGGGATGCGTTTCCAGACAGAGGGTTTCATATGAACCAAAACAGAGAGAGGGGAAACCATGGAGGTACACGACTTACAGAGTTGGATCAGATTCTAGGAGAATAGTCTGAGAGTGAAGAGTAATCTGAGTGTTGGAGAAGATGAGCCAAGTATGCTATAGGAGACTAATTTCAGCCTAAAAGTCTGTGCTTCTGAAACCACTGATTTTAAAAAATAAATAAATAAAATCCAGTGTATGGCATGGCCTGAGGCATCTAAGCAGTGTTTTTGTTTGTTTTTTTGAATGAGAACATTGCTTTGGCTCCATTGGGTCGGCTGCATTGGAGCAGGGAGATACTGAAGGCAGGGCTGGGGGCTATAGAACTATCCTCCTGTGATGCAAATAATGTTTGAATTAGAAGGTGAGGAAGCAAAAAGGTAAATTAAAAAATGAACTTTGTTGAGGCGCAATGATTTGAAGAGTCTGAGAAATGCTTCAGTCCTAGGTGATGAGGAGGAGGATAGTACCCATCACTGAGTGAGAGAAATAGAAAAACATGAGGAAGATCTCCACTGGGAGGATGAGTAAGATGACCTTTATGTTGGGTAATATTGCAAATACATAGTATTTTCAATTACATGTGGATACTATATGTAAATTTGTCAATGCTGTTCAAAGTTCCTGGATATATTTTTCAATTTTATAAATTTACACAGGGAAAATTACTCACCACAGTGCATTATTTTTTTCCACAGAAGAACAGATGTTTTGTATACCTTTAAAATAATATTTTAAGCATTTGGCTAATAAAATCAAACATTCCTGGGAGTATAACTGCTAGGTACTTTTTCCTTATGATCCTAGTCATAAATATAGTATAGCATTTCTTCAAGTATATTTCTTGGCATACTGTAATAGGGGATATTGCTAAATATTGCGGTAGGGAGGATATTTTTTTAATGCTTATGCTTAGGAAACAGTGAGTTAAGGAGGTTTCTTAAGTAGGATTTTTTCAGAGACTTTAGTATGTATTGTTAATGTAGTTAGTGATTTTGCAAAGAATACAGCATGCTGCTTTTCTGAAACTCATTTGACAGTTCTTTTGTAGCATCACTTGGGACTAGTATTCCATAGAACACATTTGGAAATACTGTAGTATTAGCTATTGCTAACAAGTTGGGAGAGGAGAAGTACAAGGAGAATATAGAAATTCATGTTTTTATATGAAACTAACTTATCATACCAAATATAATTAATGTCTGTTTCTTAATATATGAAATCCACCATTTTATTTCGGAAGATACATTTTTTGGCTTAATTGAAAATATTCTCTTTGAGATTGCAGTGATGGGAAAGTAGTATAAAGTCCTGAGGAGTCACCAGTGCCATGGGTTGGTTGCCTCTGCATTGGAACTGGTGACATAAGATATTGGCACTTGATTCCATCTCAGTCATTTCCTTGGAATAAACTAAGGATAACATTTAAATTT